GGGAGGTCCCGGAGGGTGGCGCCTGCCTCGGCCCTGGCCCACATGCCTCCTCAGCAGCAGCCCCCAGCTGGCGGGTTGGGTGGACCTGTGGGGGTAGGGAGGAGGGTCCCTGAGGCTCCTCCTGCAGCCCCGAGGACACCCCTCCTGGCACAGGGCTGGCTGACGGTCCCTCTGATCTCTGACTCCTCTGCCCAGCGCTTCATTATTCCCTCTGTTCAGAGAACTTCATAAAACCTCTTGTCGTGCCTTTAAGCGTCATCTAGACATAGATTATTTTCTCCACCAAGAATTGATTCCTTCCCTTTCCCATCCACCCCTCCCCCTCCCACGGTTGTTATTTTCTCTTGGATCCAATAAATTAAAAATTGATGGCAGCCCAGAAAGTGCCGTGCTTGCTCGCCGCGTGTCGGTGTGGTGAGTCCCGGCCCCTCCCTGGATGCGCCCCGAGGGAGCATGAAGATCCCAGGCAAGGCTGCCGGGAAGCCGGGGAAGCCGGGCTTGCGGCCCGGCGAGGTCTTCGTAGGAAGCAGGTGTCAGAGCTGCTGTGGGGTGCAGAGCGGATGGATGCGGATCCTTCCTGCAGATCCTGCAGACTCGCGTGTGCGTCCTGCCGAGACAGGGCGGTGGTGGCACAGGATTTTAAGTGCCTGGCGCCCCTCCCCCCTCCCCTCCCCCTCCACCATTGAAAAGAGAGTTCCCTGCCTGTTTTTCCCGGTTTAGGCTTAGCCATTACGATAGAGATTTGGGTTGAATCGCTGTAGGCTTGGGGGGGGGGGTTGGCCATGGGGGGGTGCAAGGCCTGTGTGCTGTGTGTGCCAGGGCTGGCGTTCCCCGTGGGGCAGGTGGATGGGCACCCTTGTGAGAGGTTGCCCAGCCCCGTGAGCCCTGGGAACGTGGCGTGGGGAGGCCAGCGGCCAGGTGAGGTCCTCTGAGCCTTTGCAGCTGCTTGGCTGGCCCAGGGTTAGCGAGGTCTTTTTGAGGTCTTTTCGTTTCTGTCTTCTGCCCCAAATTCCTCCCCAGCATGCTGAGGCCCGGGGGAGTTTGTCTTCAGATCAAGTGCTTCCCGGCTACTTAACAACAATGTCCATTATTATTTGTGAGGCCTGGTTTCATTGCTTCTAAATGGGTTTACCAGCTGGGAGGAGGCCCAGGCTTGTACATAAAATGTGGTTTTGTTGTAAAAGAAAATGAACTCTGTGTGTGTGTGTGTGTGACGGAGCGTGTGTGTGTAAATATATATTTGACCATGCACTTGAGGCTGTAACATTTCAGGGCCCAGCCTGATCCTCGGAGAGCTGACATTTGGGTATGATTCCCTGCTTCCCGTCTGTTTTCTCCTGAGGAGAGGGCAGGCTAGCTTTCTCTCCACTTTCCTCGGCTGAGAATAGTGGGAGCTGCGCTGTTTTCAGGGCACCAGACCCTTGGGGAGCCTTTGCAAAAGCAGACAGTCTCAGAGGACACACACACCTTTGTCTGTGCTGAAGGCCCGAGCTGCTGCGGCCGCATCCAGGCCGTGCTGGGCCTGGGGGCTGGAGGAAGGACCGTTGTTTTTCTGTGCCACCCACCGCTCCTTCCTGGGGCTCTCTCGCTCTGGGAGGCAGTTGGGACCTGCCTGTGGTCGGCTGAGGCTGCATCCCGGAGCTGGTCCCCAGCGGGGAAGCTGGGCGGCCGCGGCCTCCTCACAGCCCAGGAGGGCCCCAGAGGGCTGCACCTTCTCGATGCCCTTCTCTGAGCGGGCAAAGTGGCGCTTTCTTTTATTCTTCCATCATCAATACAGTTCTAAGAAGGGACACACACGTACCCCACACACCCCAGTCAGTATCCGCCTGCCAGCGGAAATGAAACCACAGCCCTCCTTGGGGTGTCTCCGACGGCCTTGAGCGTGAGCTCTCAGACTCAGCTAGCTGCTTGGGGCCACCTGCTCGCTCTGACCCAAAATTTGACAGTTTGGGGGTTTGGGGTGACTCGGCTGCCTGAACGTTGGGGGTGACGTGACCACCGTCCTGGGAAGTGTTTGGGCAGCAGGCCCAAACCTAGAGCCCCACAGACTGGGGGTGGGGAGAGGAAACCTGTCTTTGGAGTGGGGCGAGCCCCCCCCATCTTAAGGAGTTTTACTTTCAACACTAAAGTGGGAGGGGAAGGAGTTTTGCTTGCCTCTGGCCCTCCCAGCCTCGCTCAAGAGTCAGCGACTTGGGGCCCGGGTCAGGGAGGTGGCGAGTCCCTGGTGGGGAGCTCTCTGGGGGCTCCGTCCTTGGCTGCGAGGGCCTGGGGGCATAACCCGAACCGCAGCCAGGGCCGGCTTGGGGTACTTCAGACTCAATTACTGGGGCTCACAGGGCAGGGGGAAAGTGAAGAGGCAGAGGTTGCCAAATAAAGGAAAGAATACCAGATGTTACCCAAAAAAAGGCCGAACATGCAGTTACAGAGTCCTTCCAGAGATGGGCGGGTGGGGGCTGGGCAGGCGTCTGGACCCTCGCTGATCTTTAACCTGGTGTGTTTCTTTGGAGTTTGCAAAGGACTTGGAAATCATGGCGCCCCGAACCTCCTAACAGAGGGGGATGCCCTTGCTTCCCGGAACTCCTGGCCAGGAGTGGAGGAAGCCGGGCAGGCGCAGCGGAGATGGCGCTGGAGGGCTGCAGCTCCGCCTGGGTCCCTGTGGCGCGGCTTTGCGGCTCTGTGCTGAGCACCGAGACCACGGTGGCGGCAGGCAGCGGGCTGGCCCCTCCCTGGTGCCGCCTGCCACTCTCCTGCCCCCTGCTCAGGCTGTGCCCTGCCGCCTTCAAATTCTCCATTTCATTTTGCCCCCCCCCTTTTTTTTTTTTTGCTTTTCAGTTCATTTCCTTTGTGGTATTCCCTCCTCCTCCTCCTCTCTCCCTCTCTCCCTCTCTCTCTCCCTCCATCTCTCTCTTTCTCTCTCCCTCTCTCTCTCCCTCCATCTCTTTCTTTCTCTCTTCCTCTCTCTCTCTCTCTCCCTCTCTTTCTCTCAAAACAATATTTTGACATCCTCCTGCCATTTATTAGTGTTTCTTTTCTAGAAATGGTGCACAATACGTGGTTATATTTCTAAAGAACTGTTTTCACAGCCCTTTCCTTTGGCTCTGGAATTATGTATATGTAATTGGTAATTAAAGGTGCGAGCTTTTCAATATAAACAGTATTGCTCAATGTTAGATCATTAAAGGGAAAAGAGGTACCGAATAATTACCTTTTACATCCTGACAAGCCATTCACCCCCCCCCCCCCACCGTTGGGCACGAGGGTTGTGATTACATTTTAACCATAGCAAAGCATCTTTTCATAAAATAAATTGGTAAATTAATTATGGAGCATTGTCTTCAAAACTCCTTTTTAAGTAAACTCGATTTCTTTTTCAAGTGTAATTAATGGTTTCTGGGGCTGGTTTTGTGAAAATGGTTCCCCTACCTTACAGTGTTCTGCTTTGTGAGAGGGATGCAGATGCCATCCTCAGGCCCCTCCTCTCGGGGCTTTGGCACGGCTGGGCGTGCTCCCCTGCCCCCTGGGGGCCCTGCTCCCCGGACCAGGCCGGCTGTGGGGTGGTTCACCCCCTTGCCAGCAGCCCGGCCAGCACCCGGCCCGCACAGACTCCACGCAGACCTGCTCGGTGTCCGTGTGGGCTCTCCCCGGCCTCGGCCTCGGGGGAGCTCGGGCTCACAAAAGACAGTGATTTGTGTGTCGGGTGGAAGTTGCCACAGAATTTTTTCCTTGAATTATCTGTTCTTTGGCTCCAGCCGTCAGTAACTTCACTACCACGGAATGTGCTCTCCTCCTGTATTGCTCTCGGTTGTGCTGTGGTTTTCACAACCCTTTGCTAAATACCACACCGCTGAGAAATGGACCTGCCTGCTCTGTGTCTGGCCCGGGCTTCCCCTCGCCGGGAAGGCCTGGCCCGAGCCCCCAACCCATGGGGACCTTTGCTCTCCACACCTTCCTCCTTGGCTTGCTCCAGCCGGAGGGCTTAAGGCCCCTCAGCTCACTGTGCAGCCCTCACTCCTCACACCTCCCCGAGGGCCCTGCTTTCTAGGGCATTTGTGGGCTTCCAGATGCTTGTACCCTACGCCCTCTACCCCCAAACAAATGCAACACCTAAGTCAGGGCGCTGTGCGACTGGCAGAGAGACAAGGCACACAGCCCCCGACAATGTGGGTGTTTGCCAGTGCGTTGGGACTCGGAAGAATTCCTCTTCCCTCTTTCTGGGGTGAATATGAGATCAACCACCAGAAAGGGCAGTGTGTGTGTGTGGGGGGGGTGGACAGGGAGGGCATCAGGGCCAGAGCGGGGTGGCAGGAAGGGCGGGAGCCCCCAGACCCGAGGCCTGGCCTGCACACCTCTCCTGGCCGCGCCAGGCCCCTCCTCTGCACGCCACAGGGCCTCTGCTTCTGGGTTTCTGTTTTTCCCTTTGGTGAACGGCCAGCCTCAGGTGGAATGCGGGGAGGATAGGAAGGGGCTATGAGTGGGGGGTGGGGGAGTGGGGGGGAAGCCTGGCCGGGCTGGGTGAGGCCCGGGCTCCCACTCCAGCCTCCTCTGCCCGGGGGTCACCGGGGTCTTGGCACAGCAGTCTGGCGGGGCCTGAGCTGGCCCTCGGGCTGTCCAGCGTGGGCCATGGCAGGGCCGTCGGGCGCTCCCAGCTGGTTCTTGGACATTGCAAAGCTTGAGAGACACGAGGCCGTCGAGTGGCTCAAGGCGGGGTCTCCTGTGAAGCTGGACGTGAGGCCGCGCTGTCTCAGCTCGCTTGGGGAGAAGCTAGCAGGAAGTAAGCTGGAAGGCAGAAGCGCTCTCCATGGGAGCCTCGACGTGGCTCCATGAGCCTCAGTTTACCCGCCCGGGTGAGCCCTGTGCCTGTAGGGGCCCCGGGGCAGGACTCGGGCTCCTGCAGCCCAAGGAGGGGCCTGCCTCTTGGCGGGGGAGGGCTGGAAGGAACGTGGTGCTGTGACTGCCTAAGCCCACCTCTGTTTCTCTGCCCCTGTCCTTTCTCTCTCCAGCAGAGGCTGACCCGGTGGAGGCCGCCATCCTCGAGGAAGATGAGGGGCTGGAGATAGAGGAGCCCAGCACCCTGGGGCTGATGGTGGGTGGCCCCGACCCTGACCTGCTCACCTGTGGCCAGTGTCAGATGAACTTCCCCCTGGGGGACATCCTGGTTTTCATAGAGCACAAGAAGAAGCAGTGTGGCGGCAGCTTGGGTATCTGCTATGACAAAGGCCTGGACAAGGGCAGCCCGCCGCCCTCCTCGCGCTCCGAGCTCAGGAAAGTGTCCGAGCCGGTGGAGATCGGGATCCAGGTCACCCCCGACGAAGACGACCACCTGCTGTCGCCCACGAAAGGCATCTGCCCCAAGCAGGAGAACACCACAGGTATGGTTCTCCGCTCGCGGCGTGGCCCGGGCCTCTGTGCGAGGGCGAGGGGCAGGGAGGGCCAGGGCTGCCGCTGGGCCGGGTCCAGGCCACTCTGGGGAGGAGGCGGCCTGGTGTCCGTGCGTCCGTCCGTGCGTGCTGCGTCCCGCTGTGGCCTCACTCAGCGAACACTGTCTCAGGCCACGCTGCTGGAGCCGGGTAGGGCGAAACTCAGGTGTCCGCCGGGCCCTCCCTGGTGTCGCCGACTTAGGGGCGGAGCATCTTGGCTGGGATCTGCGCTTCCTCTTGGCTGACCGACTGGCCAGTGTGCCCTCTGTGAAGGGGCACCATGGAAAGCTGTCTGGGAGGTCGTCACCGGGCTGTGCGTGGGCTGTGCTGGAGGGCTCTGGACCCGCTCCCCGCCTCCTCCCTCTCCCTGGCCTCAGTGTCCCCTCTGTGAAAGGAGGGGTAGGAAGCCCTGGCCCAGAGCCCTGTCTGATGGCCCTGAGCCTCCCGGTAGCCTGGGGAGGGGCTTGTGGGGACGCGCCTGGGGTGGCCCTCGGGGGAGGTGGACGTGCCTTCTGGCACGCCCACCGGCCTGTCTCCCAGACAGCTGGTGTTTTCCACCCGCGGGACAGGGCCTGTGCCTCAGGCCTGCACGTATGTTCTCCCACCCAGGTCTTCTCTCCACTGACTTTGCCTCAAGTCCTGCCCTGCGGGCCTTGACTGGGGGTGCCAGGGCCTCCTCCCAGGAGCCTGTGCCCTGTGCACTGAGCAGACGGCTTCTGCTTGATTCTGGGGCACCCAGGAGGCCCGGGGGGAAGGAGAGCCCAGGCTGGCCTGTGTCTCCTAGAAGTGGCAGCCCGTCCTGTGGTGAGACATCACAGTGCATGCAGACAGGGGCTTGGGTCCTGCTGGTTGACTTGGGGTGAGCATCTTCCTCGGTCCATGCCTCAGTTTCCCTGTGTGTCCAAAGGGAGTAATACTGGCAGGCCCGGCATGTGGTGCCATGAATAGGGGCTCCACAAACCACACGATGCCAGTGGGACTTCACTCTGGGGCTGCAGCGTGCAAGGAGCTAGCCTGCTGGGGGAAACAGTGCGTCTGCCTCCACCTTGCCTGGTCACAGAAGCAAGCAGGTGCATGGGAGACCCAGGTGTTGGGGCTCCAGGAGGGCGAGCCTGGTGTGGTCAGGGCACTCCACTCCCACTGGCTGGACAAGCAGGTTTGGGGAGAGTCTCTCTGTACCCCCAGAGCTGTCGGGACGAGACAGCAAGCCCAACTGCTCTTTGGCAGCCCTGCAAAGCCAGGCCTCACTTTGCCCATCTGTCAAATGGGAACAACGAGCTCTCTTGCCTGGAGAGAATGTGCAGCGATGTACATGGGCTCGTGCTTGACCAGGCTAATCTGGGGGACCCCGTGGAGCCAGGCCGGCCTGGGTGGCCAGCCTGGGACCTGTCACACTGCCATGGGCGTGCAGACAAGTGCCTGAGTCCAGGCTGCGGTCGGAAGCCCCATGCCTCATAGGAGTGAGGAGGCTCCAGTGTGGGGCTGGGGCCGTCCACCTCCACCTGGAAGGTGCCGTCCACCTCCACCTGGAAGGTGCCCATCACAGTTGTCCGTGTCCTTGGGGTCCTCACGCTCTTCACCCCTTTCTTTTCTTTGCTCCACACTGGAGGGATAGTTTTCAGCTCCGTGGGGCGCTGACCTTTTGGGGTGGCTTCCGCCTCTGTTCATGTTTCAATGGACGGGCTTTCAGCACCCCCCAAACCCTTCAAATCAGCATTCCGCATTGAAGGTGTTTCCCAACGAGAGGCAGCAGGGCTCCGTGGGTAGGTTCGTTTAAGAAGCGACGCGATGTGATTTCAAGAAAGACCGGGTACTCTCCGAGGCCGCTCGGTCCTCTTCCCTCTTCCCCGCTCGCTCCCTGCTTTTTGGGGGGCTGTAATGCAACAGAGGCCCGCAGTCTTTATTTTATGTGTGACGGAAGATATTCCTGGCCTTTTCTGTTCAGCAACAGGACGAATGGATTTCTTCATTCTGGAAGCAATATGTAAAAAAACCCTTAGAAGTCTAAAGAGATATGTTTGTTCAAAGCATTTAAAATGTTATTTTAATCAAAGGCAACAACAGGCTCCGTGCTGTCAGCGGAGACGGCCATCCCGTGTCAGCAGCGGCCTCGTTCTCCCGGCCTCCTTTTCTTTTTCCCTCCCCTACTTTGGCACTAACTTTTCTTCCTTTTTATTTAATAAAAAGGGAAGATTAAAGAATAAAACTTCAGTGGCTCAAATGTATAAAGTAATTTAATATGGTGGGAGCATTAATTATTTTAGCTTAATTGAATTCTGAGGACTGCAGTAGTTGCATTTCTGTAGACAAGCTCTGTTTATTATTTCTCTGTGTAGATTAACAGTAAAGGAAACACAGATAACTTTCAGTTATTTATTGTAAAATAAATGTGTCAATTCATGTGTAAAGCAAGCTGCTCAAAGATAATTGAGTCTTTATATTTTAAGAGGGGAACTAGGAATCACAGGCGCTTCTCTGCCCGGGCTTCCGGAAACCCACACAGCTGCTGCCTGCCCTGGGCACCCCTGGCCTCCCAGGCCTCTCCCGGCCCTCGTGCCCGGCAGTCGTTCCCAGCGCTGGCCCCGGCCGGGAGCTCGCGAGCAGGTCGCTGTGGGTCCCTGGGCCCGGCCTGGGGCTGGGCGGCCCGAGGTGCACGCCCCCAGGGGTCCCGAGGTCACCTGGTGCTGCAGCCTGCCTGCGGCCCTCGTGATGCCAGGGCCCTCCAGAGGCGGGCGGGCCGGACTGGCTTGGAAATGCACGGGCCCTTCACCTCCAGGGTGTCCGCGTGTGGGAAAGGACTCGAGTGCCGTCAGACCTGGTCCAGGGCTGACCCCAGGGCTGATTCCCTGGGGACGGCAGTTCTGGGCCTGGGTTTAAAAGGAGGGGTTCATTCCTTTTTGTGTGTGATGAGGGGTTGTAGAAAGAGGATGCTTCTGAATCTTTGTCTCATTCATTCTCTCGCCTATCACTGCCCTGTCCCGCCCTGGCCATTCCCACCTGGCCCACAGGTGACGGAGGCCCCAGGGTGTGGGAGTGTGGGGCAGCAGGCCAGGACAGGGTGGCCCTCGACACACGTCCCCGAGGCCTGGAGTGCGCGAGGCGGTGGCGCTCATGCCCGAGGCACAGAGGGTGGGTTCGGTCAGAGGTGGGGCTGGCATAGGAACAGGGTCGCCGGCCTTCACGCTTCCTAGACCCCGAGGTGCTGTTCTCCGCCTGTGTTGGGTGCTGTGGGGCGGGGCCCTCGGTGGAGCACGGGCGGCCTGGCAGCCCTGGGAGAGGGCGACGAGGGGCCCGGGGTGAGTCTCCCAGCTGGTATGTGGGTTGGGCCTCTTGAGAAGGGGCCTTGGGGGCACCAGCCTGGGTCAGTGTCTGCCCCTCTGCTGCAGCCTGGGCAGCTGGACTTGACCTTCTGAGCTGCTGCTCCTTCTCTGTCGACGTCGCCTGGACTGCCAGTGACGTTCGACCTGTGCCTTGCACGTGGTGCTGCGAATGTGCCCTCCTGTCCCTTGCGGGTGCCCTGCCCCATGCCCTGGTGGGGGCGGCGGATGCGGGCTCCTGGGAAGTGGAGACCTGCCATTGCTTCGGAGAATTGGGTTCTTGAGAAACTGTCCGGTCCAGTGGTTCCCCTGCCTCACCCGCCGCCCCTCTGCGACAGGTGTGATGGCAGGTTGCTGCCGGAGGGGCCTTCAGGGGGGCGGGGCTGAAGTCTGGGGTCCACCCTGGGGCAAGTCGCTTCAACTTCCGAGCTCCACCTGCTTCTCCGTGCCACATCGAGGGCTGGAGGGGACGAGGGCCGGGCCTGGGGCGCCGTTGCTTCAAGTAGACCAAGACTTGGAGGAGGTCAGAGCCTGGAACCTCCCCTGGGACAGCCCTGGCAGGCGCCCCCGATTCTGCCCTGGGGTTTGCCGTTCTCAGCCACTGCAGCCTTGGCCTCCCTCTCCGTAACCAAGGGAAGCGGGGTCCTGAGGCCTTAGCGACCAGCTGTCCCTGAGAGGTTCTTTTTGCTTCTCTTTCCTCTTCCCCCAAACCCAAATGTCAGCTTTCCAGGGGAGTGCAGGGACAGGCAGCGGGTGACAGCAGGCGGCAGCCCCCAGTGAGGCTTGGAGGTGGCAGGCAGCTCCCCCTGCAAGGCCCCGCTTGGGGGCGCATCTCTGTCCGCATCCCAGGAAGTGCCAGGCGGCCCAGCCCCGGGGTGTCTGCCAGCGGACAGGATTCAGAGGGGCTTGGTGTGGGGGCCCAGTGGCCCAGGGCTGGTGAGCGGGAGGAAGAAAAGGACTTCTGATCTGCTGGAGGGTTTACGTGCTGCTTTGAGAATGTTCATTTCAGACTTTCCAGAATAAATAAAAAAACTATGAGAAAAAGAATATTAGCTTGGCCAGTGGGAGAAACGAAATAACTCGCCTGAGCTGGAACCTGGAGATAAACTCCTCTTGCAGGTTGTGTGGAACAACTTGCATTTGACACATTTGTATGAGTTGTTATTTTCCTTCCAAATTAAGATTAGCTTAGATCCGTGTGTGGTGTGGCATGGATTATTATTTTTTTATTATGAAACCGTGCCGGCTAATTACTAGTTCTGTCTGCATCGAGGAATAGTGGAACGTCTGTCTGAGTGACAGGGCCCTCAGCTCCGGTTGGGGTGCTGGGTATTGCCGGGCCCACCCCGGATTTGGTCAGCACCGGCAGGGGGTGGGGAAGAAGGGGGCCTACCTGATACTCTAGGGTGCTAGGTGCTAGTTTGGCTTATCTCACCTTGAAAGAGATACCCGCTTTGAAGTACAATTCCTCTCACCTCCTTAATAGCTATTCTGACCTCATTTTGAGCTGGGTCTCAGAGAGGTTAAGGGACTTACCCAAGATCACATAGCCATGGGGTGCACCCCCAGTCTGCCAGACTTCCTCAGCTAGCATGGGGTTAGATACTTTGGGGAGAGGGACTCTGACTTCCCTGC